TATTGTTTTATTCTGAAGGCAAAAAGTTAACAGCAAAAAGGGAAATGGTAAAAAGTCATTTTAAGTATCAAAAAACTCAATTTATTAAGTGATCAAAACTAACTGATGTAGGAATTTACTAAAAACCAGTTGAGCAACAAAATGTTTCTCATTGTTTAAGAGTTTTTTGTGATCAAACTGTAGGTCTATTAAAACACACTGATTATTAGAGATGAGGAGGATACTACAGAAACAATTTAATTGAAAAAGTTTTGAAATTTTGGAAAATTATCATTGTTAAAGTAATATATGATGACAATAATAAAAATAATCAACTGAAAAAGATGATATCAGATTTAGATGAACATGTTATTTTTTTTCTTTCTAATTTTGGAAAAATGACAAGAAAGTAAGAAAAAAGAATGAAATCATTAACAAGAGATACTAGTTTAGCCATTGAACATACATGCAATGGTGTAATTGATGTTTATAGATATTTGTCAGTGGGTTTAATTTTGTTATGCTTGGTAAATTTACCACAGACTATTTGGAAAATTAAGACAGATGTTGATATCAAAGAATATGTGGACATTTACTGGATGAAATCAGATGCCAAACATTTGATAACTTACCAGACTTTGAAACTAGAATCCCTACAGATATTAAAATGTCGCTTTTGTATCTCGCAGGCTATGTTACAAGAAAAGATTGTCCCACAGAAGAAGAAATATTTAATTAGTTATTATTTTCAAGAATCTGGACATTTTTTGAAAAAAATACATTGTGATAATTAAAAAATTCCACTGAATACCACATTTTAGTGAGTGTTTTTTTTTTTTTTTATAAATGTTTGGTGTCGTTAAATTGAAGACTTGCAGAAATTCTTTCACAAAGATCTTTTTGAAAAAAAAAAAAAAAAAACTGAAAAATTTTATTAAAGAAAAATACATGCTCTCCATCAGGATTCAAACCTCCCCCTCATATAATAAATAAATGATGCGTCTACTCAAAAATGGGTAACTACTAAAAATAACATTTAAGTAATAAAATCTGTTAGATTAAAAAATAAAAATCTGTCACTTCTTTTAGATGTGTGCATATATATATATATATATATATATATATATATAATCACCACCTGCAACAAAAAAATTACTATTTTCATTATAACATTTTGTTGGTTGTGATAAAAAAAAAAGTATAAACGCTGAAATGTTAATCCCCATGATGCATTAATATAATTCCAAAATAAATTATACTCTTTTGGAAATCATTCATATTGATTCTACCAAGAAGACAAGATTTCTGGATGCATAATATAGAAAAATAACTTCTGAAAAAAGATCTCTGCAAATCGGATATCAAATTATTAAAACCATTATATTAAAGTGCCTAGAATAAAAGGGAGATAATTTGAATTATTTCCCCTTAGAAAATTCCTAACAATCTGATATCATTTGTTTGGAAAACGGTTCAAAAACATTTTATAAGCTATTTTATGTTTTGATTTTATCACGCATGTGCGTTAAAATGTTTGACTATTCTGTTATTGTTCAACTTTGTTATTAGCATTTAGTTCTAAGTAATTTCATTCAAAGAATTATCTTGAGTTTTGTGACATGATATGAGCATGCATACTTTTTAGAACATTAACAATGAAGTAAAGAAGCAATATTTTCAGCATTTACTGTTTTATTTTAAACGTAAAATGCTACTCAAATAGAAAATATGCACATAAATGTGAATGACTAAACATATCAAAAGTGGTTTGCAAAATTTTAGGCAGAGATTTTTTGCTGTACAGTGTTCCATGATTAGCCGATAGTAATCAAATCCCTTGACATTAATCAGCATTAAATGACTGATATACTTCAAAATATATTGACTGATAGCCAATATACCAAAATCATTTGCACTAGCTTGATTATGTTAATTGCTTTGATGTATGGGTTTCACAAAAAAAAATATACCAAACTATTTCTGTATGGGATTTTTTTAAACAAACCATGACAAACAATGAAAAGCACAGGCTTAAAAAGTACATGGACAGGGAATGCAAGGCTTCATCACAATATGATGAAAATAAAAGGCAGTTCTCAGCTATTAGCCACCTTCTAAGTATCAAGTGGTTAATTCAAACAAGTATTGCTCCTAATTGAAACTATTTGAAATCAGAAATCATGCAATCAATAAAATCATCCAGAATTAGTCAGGAGAAAAGGGTATTCAATCAGGATAATGTGAGACTATATGATGTATGGTGATCAGGCAAAAATTGTTCTCACTTGGCTTAGAGAATTTCACTTGTACAAGATAATGCACTTTCCGATTACCATTTATTTCAGTCTTTACAAAATTCTTTAATTGAAAAAAAAAAATCTATTTTCTATTCTCCAGAAGACTGCAAAAGGCACCTTAAAGCAGTTCTTTGCCAAGAAAGACAATAGTTTTGGGAGAATAGACTTATGAAGTTGCTTGAAAGATGGCAGAAGATAGTGGAGATAACTTATTAAAGAGAATCTCAATTTTTTTTTTCTTTTTGGTTACAAACTTAACAAGATGAACAAACATTTTGGCCAACTATAATACACATATATACATGTGAAAAGTTGCTGAAAAATTCTCATCCTGAGTATTTTCATTAAAATACCAATTTGGGGACTGTTTAGTACATCTGTGTGTGTACATGAGCACAAATTGTTTAATATTTTGTTGCATAGACGAGACCCCTGATAATATAGTAATAAATAAAAATGTAGTGGTGCACAAACTTTCAGCTGCTCTCCCCCACCCCATGATGATAAAGAAAAAAAAATTAAAGATAATGAACAGAAAATGAGAATCATTGTTAATCTGTTTTTTTTTGGGGTTTTTTATTATTATACAAGGTGAGTTGAAAGTTACTTTAACATAATATTATTTAACAATTATATTTCAAGTAATTAAAATATACTCAAGTAAATTAAAATAAATAAAAAAAATGTTCAAAATGATTTGCTTTTCCCCACTTTAAACAGAATAAACATTTTATACACAGGAAAGCAAAATAAAGTTTGAATAGAATTGCTTTAATAAATGCTGTAAAATAATTTTCAGTCCACCGTGTATAAGTATGAACACTGTTTTTAAAAACATTCTAATACTCTTGGTAAGCAAGAACAAGCATGATTCAATCTGTCCTCCTATTCTAATATATGAATTCTGAAAAACAAAGGCTTAGCCAATTCTGTCATTAAAAAAAAATATTGCTGTCAATCTTAATTTGTCATTAAGAAACTAATCCTATTCATCCTAAGGAGTGAACATGTAAGGACTGATTGAAGGGCAAGGGAAAATTTTCAGAGAACTAAGTGCTGTATGAATTGAATAGAGTTTTAAAACTAAGAATTCACTGAAACTATTTGAAGTTAAAAATTGTAGGAGATTGTTGCACCTTCCATTTTTCTATTTTATTTTTAATTTGAACCTACAATACTTTAAATGTGGCCATTTTCAAAAGAGAATCTGAGAAAAAAAGACACTTAGTCAAGTAATTATTCAGACTATTGTCCTCATCTTTGTCGCCATATTTATTACATTTTGGCCATTGTATGCTTCAGCCTTCTTCAGGTGGTTGGAATGTCAAACTGAACCTTTATTTCACTCACTGGGGTAGACTGTTCTAGTTCCACGTGCCATGTCTAATGGATGTCAGTTATCAGTTATCTCCTGTTAATTCCCCTCTCCAAGTTCTCCAACACCTTAACCAGGTATTGAACTCACACTCATTGGGTCCTGTCACTGGATCTAACCAACACCTTTATCCACTGTGCCATGTGTCCTTGAGGATAATTATGGCGACAAAGATGACGACAATAGTCCAAATAATGTAAATAGTGTACATAATACCTCATCTCAGAAATATAGACGGATAGTCAAGTAATGCTAATATGATATGTTGCCTGAATGAAAACAGTGCAGTAACATGGAGTTCTGTCTGTGTGTACACATATAAACATACACAAATACACACACACACTTGTAAGAGTAAGGTAACAGGTGAAGGTACACACTCATGATAATAATTCATTAAATCTCTCAAGCATATTAGAATGCAAAAAGAATAAAATAAAAAAAATGGAAATCTGGAATTCTAACTAATAAATGAGAGTATATGATGTATATGTATTAATAAACATGAGGAAAGGACTAAGGAAAGAAGAATTGTGTGTGTGTGTGTGTGTGTTAATTTGAAATACTGTTTTTGAAGCCGAAAATGCTAGTTTTTCAGTGGTTTGCTGATAAGGAGGCATTTAAGGCAAGCAGGGTTTGCGGTAGAGTGATCAATATCAAAGATAGATATAGAGCATTAATAGAATTAATATAAAACAAGTTTTTTTTTCAATTAACTCATGTTTACTTCAGAGTTTTATGGCTATATAGATATAACCACTCATCGGGAACAGTTTAACTGTTCTGACGAGGAGTTATATCTCTATAACTACAAAGCTCCAAAATAAACATGAGTTAAGTGAAAAAAAAATTTAAATTATATATATCTGATGATCACAAGGGTGTGAAACCCAGGGTCACAAACTCATATCAATACAACTATATATATATATATTATAAAAGGAAAAAAGGAGTGAAGTGTATGGGGAGAATGCAGTCCCAAAATAGTTTATAGATCATAAAACCTGGGGGCAAGTTGGAAAGTTGAGTTTTGGTCTAGATAGATACCAGGGCCAGGGTGAATAATAATAATAATTAGGAAAAAAAAAAAAAAAAAAAAATATGATAAAAAGTAGACAAAACAATTCATATCAGTGAAAAGGGGGGGGATGCAGTCTAGTCCCATGTTGTAGGTCATCAGTGTCGTCCTAATAACTGGGTTGTGAATCAGTTAGCCGTGCAGTTTGCCTTGGTACTAGTGACCAGAGACAAGGGAAGGCAAGAGCTTAAAAGGAGGAACCTTCGCCTCAATCTACTAATTAGTATCATGTCACATATACAGTAGAAAATAGTAGGTGCTGAGTACTTACTGCCTGGTAGCAAGGTTTGCTTCTTCACCAGTCCTAGCACGTCCAGAATGGAAGCCCCCGGTCGACGACGAGGATCATCATCTAGGGGAAGGGAACAGGCACGGATTACAAACAGAAGAGGGAATCAAATTGTGTAGAGCACACACCCTCCCCTTCGAGGCCGGGTTTTGGTCGGCCATCAAGTTTATACATTCTGGTCAGCCATCAAGATGACCAGCTAGCTTTCAAAGTGAAAGTGTCCATACCAAGAAACAGTGGCAAGAGATACTAAAATATTCCACAATGACCAACAACACTCACTGGGGACATATTCTAGGTTGGCTAACTAAAAATGGATGGGTAAAGGAAATGTAGATGATTCACATTTGTAGGTAATTAAAAGAAAACCAAAACAGCTGCAGAGGAAATCTGTATTTATAAAGAGACTAGGAACCAGACCAAACAAAAACAATAAAATATAATTTCAGTTGAAAAATACTATCCAAAAGTCAAGATTATAAATAAGAAAAGAAAAGAGGAATAACTAAAAAAACTTATGAGAAAATTTGGGGTACTTGGATGGGTATTTGTTGTCCAGTGGATGCTTCATTTTGTATACTGTTAGTTGCTAGGAATTTTAGAAGCTATAGAATATAGTGAAGAGTAGACTAAAATACAGCATATAAAAAGAGAATCTCATGTGGTAAAGATGACAAAACATGCAGCCATGGCAAGATTTAAAAAATAATGAATTTGGGGAACATATTGATAAAGGGTCCCTTAGGGACAAATTAGAAAAAAATGTACATACATATTAAAAGCGTAAAAAAAAGGAAATGGTTGGACAGAGTTAATCAGGAAAGCAAAAAATAAAATAAAATTTAAAAAAAAAAAAAAAAAAAAAAAAAAAAGACAAGAGAGATGAAAGTTTATTCTGACATCTCTCAGTTTAAAGATAGAGGTGGGGTGGGGGCAAGGTAATTGGAGGGGAGAAGGAATCTAGCTGAAACAGAAAACAACAAACAGCAGCAACTGATGCCACTGTCAGATTTGAAGGTTCTTGCAATGCTAAAGCAGGCAGGAAGACAAGAACATTCTGTCAACAACTGCACTCTTGAGGGCAAACAATACTAGTCACAAAACAATATACATGCCCAATAGCTTGTAGAAGTTAACACATTTGCCAAAATAAGGTTGGGATTTGCTCTACCTACTCTTTATGTAATTCTCAGATGTTTTGATTATTTTTAATATTGTCCAATTGTTAAAAAGAAAGAAAAAAAAATGCAAAATAAATTACTTTCATTTTTCAGTCCTTTTCGGTACTGTTGGGTCTGCCTTTTGAATTAACTTATCAAATAGAAAAAGAGAGTAAATGTATAATTATTTCGGAGAAGGGAGTGAAAAGTTTTTATCCATAGGAAAAGTTTGTTAGTTAATATTTCTAAAATTGTTTAAATATATCATTAGATATTTGAATCAATTTTAAATAGGAAACAAACTGGAATTCTAAAGTGCATAAAAACTTTCGCATTCAAAATAATTAAAAGAAAATGAGAATGTTAACATGAATTGGTAAATTAATCAAATGATTTTGAGAGCTAAGCAGAAAAATTTTACCAGAGCAATTTAGTGCTAATGATTCTTAGAAAAGCTTAAAATACATTACCTACTGAATATAAATTCTATTTTCAAACTAGTTTTTCATCAAATCGCTATTAGAAGTTTGATTTTAATTAAAATATCTAACAAGTCAGATGGGATGAATTTAAGAATGTAGCTTGTCACTACTGAATATTACTAACAAATGTTTCCACTGAATCAAGTGTTAAATGCTAAGAAGTAGTCATTTAAGAAAATCAAATGTTGCAAATAAAAAGCAACATCTTTTTCTAGTTAACTTGAACTATCTTTTTAAAGTTTATTAAAAATTGCACATGACCATCCAAAATTATCCTTTGTACATCATCAGGAATATTTTATAATACTGCAGATCACCAGTTTAATGGATTTCCTACAAAGCATTTGTTAAGTAACAAGTATACTCTGACCCCATACTATTTCTCTTTGAATGAGCAAAGGGAGAATTTTTCAATACATATAACTTCATAACAATCTATCAATATGACAACAAACTTGTCTACTTAATTGGAAGCTTAATTCTTTGACAAAATGAATTAATGTGGGAATATCCCAGAGACCAACTCATCAATTAATTATACTTAATATTTTTAAGAAAAAATTACATCAACTAAACATTAAATACAATCAATATGGAGGACAGAAGGAAGTATGTGCACTTGCCTGGTTTCTTTATACATGATCCTCATCATTAGTTTTTATTACATGATGACAAAATAATAATAATAATAATAAATGAAAGCATTAATAAGACTGCATTTCAGTGAAAAAAGAAAAAAAAAAACTGGTTAAACAAGATACAGAGAGCCATAATAAGCAAATAACTTTCCTTATTAAGACAATTTTACACATTAATTAAGAGATCAGTAATTTTTGAGAGCTATTATTTTTCTCACTTGTTTGTTACAAAATATATTAAAATACACACACACAGATAAATATTGATAGCAATATCAATTAGTAAGAAAGTGAAATTTTTATCAGTAAAAAATTAACTTCAAAGACTTTAAAAATCATACTTGGTTAAATAGTTTATAGAAAACATCTAAAAGTCTATGATACAAATGTTGTTAGCTTATATATTAAAAAGAATGTTATCTTCAGGAAAATAGAGCTTTATTAAACTATTTTCACAAGATTATATTTTTTAAACTAAGACACTGCAGTAAAAGAAAAATTTGATAGTCAATATATGAAATGAATTTAGTGTTGTAGTAGAGGGAACAAATTGACGTGAATTAAGAGAGTCAGTATCTATTCATCACTTCAAAAGTTTTATTTACTAACATTGCTTAGTAGGCAATATATTAATTTCTTATCTATAAACTGAAGACTTGTTTCAACTGGTTCCATTTTATGCTCTGTGAACTTCTGTAAGTGTCAATAAAGAATGACAAGATATAACAAAACAAACTGTTATCCTTTTGCCCAAAAGATTAAAAAAAGAACATCAACATTAGCTTTACAATTTCCATAAAAACTAGGCAATGGTTTTCCATATTTTATGTTATTTCTTACAATATTTGTAAATGTATTCGATTAGAAAACAATTCCTTTTTAATGGGCAGCTTTCCATCAAATATATAAACAAATTAGCTATGTGGAAACCCATAAACAGATCACAGAATGATAATCTTTGAACTATTATTGCTGGAGAATAATCAAAAACTTGAGAATTGTTTCCAATTTCAAACTGAATGCTAGTTCACTTGATCTTTTAATAAATAACAAATTGCCACAAAATATATCTTTTTGGATATGAATACAAATAGGATGGTTCATACCAAAATTGTGTGTGTGTGTGTATATAAAGTGAACATTGAAGTCAACACTTAGAAGTGACAGGCTGTTTCATGCTAGACGCAATCATCAGGCCACAAGTGTTGTTTTTTTTTTCTTGGCTATTTATATATACATGTCAGTGGTGCATTGTGGGTAGTCTATTTTGGCAGCTATTTTGCTGGAAGTTGTTTATTTATTTATTTATATGGGTTAAATTATTTTGCTTGTTTTTACTTATTTTTTATTTTTATTATTTTTATTTCTTATCTTATATATTTATTTTAATCAGTGTTTTATTAACATAGTAAAAATTTGTTTATATCGCTTATTTAAGAGTTTTGCTTTGGTTTGGGAAGATAAAGCTATTTATTCAATTTTGGGGTTGATTGCTGTAGTTTATTCTAACTTATTTTAGCAAGAGCAGTTTTGTGTTTGTTTATTACTTCATTTATTTATTTGTATTGATTATCTTTACTTGTTTTTTCTAACAGTTAATTTATCGGGATTGGTTTGTTAGTTTATTTATTTGGGTTAATTTAGATTAATTTATTTTACTTGCTTTTTATTACTTATTATTATACTGTATATTTTTATTTACTCTTTTCGGTTTTCAAGTAACATAGTATTTTTTTATTTTTTTTTTTTTAATCGTTATATAACAGTTATAGCTATGCTTTTGGTTTGATTTTTATAGTCTAACTAATATTTTGATCATAATGGTTTGTTAATTTGTTTATTATTCAGTTTATTTGTTTGGGTTTATTGATATTGTTTTTTATTTTTTATTTATTTATTCTATTTTGTCTATTCTAACGGGTGTGATTTGGTAATTTGTTTTGGGTTAATTTATTTTACTTATTTTATTGTCATTTTATTTATTGATTCTTTTTCAGTTTTTGATTTCTAAGTAACATAGTAAAAATTTGTTTTCATGTCTGCATTTTGAGATGAGCTCAGATCGTTTATTTAATAATTTATTTTGGTCTGGGAAGGTAATGATAGCTATTTTTTTCCTCCAAGCAAAGTTTGCAAGTTTTGGATTGTTTGTTGTAGGCTGATGATCTTTTCCTTATTTTCCAAGATATTTTTGGTGTGAGGTGCATTTTGTTTTTAATTTCCCAGATATACTAAGAAAGCATTGTGCTGTTTGTATTTACTATATATATATATATATATATATATATATATATATATATATATATATATATATATATATATGTGTATGTGTGTGTGTGTGTGTGTGTGTGTGTGTGTGTGTGTGTGTGTGTGATTTTCTGGTATGCACATCCAATTTATGTTGGAAATGGAGACAAAGAATTATTATATACCTTGGCACTATGGCCTTGTGTCTGTTGTACCCAGTAACCTAAGATTTTATGCAAAGTCCACTGATTATCAAAATATTTGAAATATTTAAAGGCAAGAAATAAGATAAAAGCCAAAACTCTGGCAACTTAACATGATATTTAAAATATTGCTCTTTTGTATCTGTACTTGTGCACACTTCAAAATGCACCAGTACAAAATTCAAAATCCAATTGGGCGAAAGGGTATTTTTTTTTGCACATCATTCTGCTTTCATACTATTTTAAATATGAAGAAAATTTTGCTATGAAAACCAACCAACCAACAAAAAAAAAAAAAAAATCCTGTTTTCAAGATATTTTTTTACATCCATGATTAAGAATGCATTTGGCACAAATATTTAAACAGTGTGCACAGAATAAATATTTAAATAGTGCACATTAGTTTTGATTTGATCTAGAAACAGCATTAAAATTATATTCTCAACAATATTCTTTATAGATTTTTGAGTGTGTAGTTACCAGAAAAGAAACTTGCAATTGAAAGGATACATAAATGTAGAAGAAAAAAAAAGAAAGAAAAGAAACAGAGAGAATAAACATACAAAATTATGAATTAGATTTGGTTCTGTATACATGTATAACCCCCCCTATCATTAGCAACTTTGAGGTACTACATATTTCAACCATTTAGTGTTGTTTATAAGAACTATGAGATATGAGAACTGGACAGAGGAAGAAAAATATTGAGATGTTAAAAAAAAAGTTTATTTTTAAAAAAGTGTTTATTTTTGGCCATGATCAAACTAAATTTTAAGAGATTTGATGCCATACAGAATGAATCAGGGGAGTAAGGTAATGTTTGCATTATGGCATTTTTCTAGAAAATAATTTTTTAGTTTCCCTTTTCTCTATTTACCTTCAGCTGTATAAAAATAGAAACATCCATTTCCTCATCCAAAATCTTGAGGATATAAAAAGTAAAAAATAATAGAAAAAAAAAACTATAACTTATGAAACAGCTTTCAAGAAATTTGAAAATCAAAATATCAGAAGTGAAAATCTTTACCAAAAGAGGTATTTTTTTGTTATTTCTATTTTTTCTGCCATGTTAATAGAAAGTCACAGGTTTTTATGAAAAAATATTGGTGCATAGACCAAAAAGTTTAAAAGGTCAACTTTTTTTTTTTTCCATTTTTTTTTCTCTCCTTTTTTTTTTTCCTTTTTTTAAGAAAAAAAAAAATAGTTCTTAGAGAATTGTTATAAATGTCAACTTACAGTTTGGTTCTTCATCTACTTCATCCACTTCAATCCAGTCCACCTCAGGTTTCTGAGTATAACAAGTCTTCTTTATACAATAGACCATGTGGTTAGCTAAAAGAAAATGCACAAAAATTCAGTGAACAGTTTTTGTTTTATTAAAACTTGTACAAACAGACATTTTTAATTATTAGCAAATTAATTCAACACAAAAGCTATTATATAGCAACAGCAATAAAAAAGAAAAAACCTTGTGCTGTGCCAAAAATGGTCAACCAGTGTAATCTAATGTTTTTAAGGCAAGTAGCCTTTGTAATTCTAGTGCCCTATATCAAGAGATATAACATTAATAATAGTAAAATAAATTTTTCCACTTATCTTATGACCGTCACTACTCTGAGTTTTGTGGAATCACATCCACTCTTAAGGAGACTTGATAGTAAATTAACATTTTATCATCATCTCTTGAAGAGTGGATGTGATTCTACAAAACTCAGGATAGAGATAATCATGAATGAACACACACACACATTTATATATATATATATCTGCAGATATTTATAGAGGTTTGTCCAATATAGTGTTATTGCATAATCTGTATATAATTAAAAAGATTGAAATACCTAATCAGGCACAAATAAACAAGATGACAGTAATTTTTTTTTAAACATAATATTGAGTAGAGTAATTAAAGAGATTAAAAACAAAAAAGTAAAAATATGGCTATAATTCATGGATTAATATTTTATTATGAGATTGTGTTTAAAAATTAGAGGACAAAAAAATCAGTTTTTTTTACCATAAAATTTATTTCAGTGTTTCTAGACAAGTCTGTAACTTTTTTTTTTTTTTAAATTTTGTTTTCTCAATTTACAGATGTCTTATCAAGGATATCAACTGCAAAATTAATTCACTTGTTCACTGAAACAGTTACCAAGATTTCATATAAGGCTGGGAATAAAAAATAATTGCAAAAAAGGTTTGCTTCATTAGTTTTGAATTTGTTCAAATGCTATATAAATTTAGATAATTGTCTGGATTAAATGATTATAAAGATAAAAAAAAGACCATCTTACCTATTCTGTTTCCAAAACTACTACCAAATCCACACAAGCAGTACATAGGTTCCTCCATTGGTTTCTCAGTGGGAATGTTAATGCTGACATTGGTCAGCCTACCTGAGTGGAAACCCATCATGTGAGTAGCATAGGCTGTACTGCAACTTGTAGCAAATCGACACATGGAACATTCAATATATTTCCTGATAGAAAAGCAAATCAAAGAATTATTGGTAAGCAACAGAAATTCTCTTCCTAATAGGCAAACTAAAATGCCAAATCTATCAAATACAAAAATGGGCAGAAAATGGTACTATGAGATAATTACTGGATGCAGAGAATTAAGATGTTCAATGATTCCAATACACTTATAAAATATCTGTTTATTCTAACAGCAAAACATTAAAAAAAGAATTAGCTTAAATAACAGCTAACAAGATATAGAACTTGCATTAATTACCTGTAGAGAATACTTACTAAAAACAGAACAAGCAAGAAATATAATCTTCCATGTCAGAAATTAGCTTCAATCAATTTTAGATCTATTTTAAGTAATTTATTTATTTATTTTTTTAATCATTTCACCCCAAACAATGCTGTAATGCAACTAGTATGCAAAGAGTTAGAGGAAGTGAAAGAGAAGACTGAGAATAGGGAGTATTGAGAAAAGGACAAAAGATTAACAGGGTTCAAGAAGACAGAAGATGGCAATTGATGTAGCATTTACATTTTTGAAAATTGTAGTTATCAAAGAAGAAAGGAAACAGAAGACAGTTCCACAGGTGGAAGTACGAGATTAGTCTTGAATCTTTTGAGAACATGCAGAATTCGAGAACAATTTCTTAATAATCATCAGTACAGTATAGTTAAAGCCATCAAGTTTGTAGGTTTTATTTTTATTGGTAACCTGAATAACATTTGAATGTTCATAAAAAAAAAAAAAAAATTCAAGTCATCAGTTCTGCTTATTATAAGGAATGTGAATATATGTGGTCAATATGGAAAGAATCTCAGGAGGTTCAAAGAGAACATAAAAGTATGTAATTGTAAATAAAATAAATAATTTTTTCATAATAAAGTATGTAAATAAGCAATTTTACTGAACATTAACATTACAACATTTTAGAAAATAAAATTGTTATATTTTTATAAAATAGACAAATACTTTCTTGCTAATCCCCACCCCACTGATCAAAAGAACCTTTAAGTGTAAATACTTCTAAATACTTCAAAAATGTTCTTATTTAAATTTATTTTTCAAATTCATATTATTCAGTGAGTGGCAAGTGTTTCATATAAGTGCTTAGAAAAAAAATGTTTTACCTGAAATGTCCCACAGTATTCATTGATGTCTTGCATTCTATACATTTGAGAGATTCCATTGATTCTGGCAGTTTCATACTATGGTAGTCCATCACTTTAGTAAGAGCAGGAGCATTAAGGGATTTTACACCTTTATCCTTGCAGGGTGCAACCCCTGGTTCTGGTACTTTGATCATTACTTGATCTGGGGTTGTGTATTTTGCATTCATACCTGTTCAAAACATCAACATCAATAAATCAGAAAAATGTTCTATTACATTCTAGACACTAAATCATATAAATCTGACATTTAACAAGTTTCAATTGAATTTCAGCTTTTAGAGCCAAGCTGAAAACCTTTTTAGAAATCAGTGTCATTATACACTGAGCAGAATTTTAAAATATTTTGCATTCTTTCATATAAATATAATAATTCTAAAGTCTGATGATGGACTAAAAAAAAAGCAATACCCAAAAAATATTTTACACATATTTTTAACAATATTTCTTTATCAATTTAATTTATTAGTGAATCTTAATCACATTGATCAAACATTATACTCTTAATTTCAGATCAAATTTTAACTAATAACTGTCAGATTACAGATTTACTGATTCATTTGTGCACAAAGTGATGCTGAAAAGTTTTCAGTCCAATCAAGAAGGGATTTAGAAAAAAAAATCTGATTATTTGGCCAAATTTTGGAAACAGTATCACACACACACACACACACACACACAGATATAGGATGTTTTAACTACTAGCTTTACATTTTTCAGGTTTAAAAACTGAATTTTACTGGGGAAAAAAAAAAGTCATTTGAATTAAATTTAAACTTGTACTTTATTTTTAAAACAAAATATGCCTTATTTCTAACACATTAGTTAGAGAATTATATTAATAAAAAATTTTTTCCCAGTTTTCAACATATTCTTAAGTAAATTATGAAAGATAAGGGAAGATTAAAAAATGCTTTCACTTCATTTCCTTTGTGAAGAACCTACATGCTTGTTCATTGTTTATAGCAAAAAATCTCCCCACTTTCTTAAATGTCTATACTGGAAAATATCTATCTAGCCAAAGATTTATATTTCCACAACCTTGATCTTCTACCAAGTATTTCTTTACTAAATTCATTTTTAAATCAAACAGGTTGAAAGCTTGATTTCCTTACATTACCTGGTGCCATAAGTCACTTCAAAGAACCAAATAGAACATAATACAAGGTAAAATATCTACTTGCCTATGACTCCTTTCTGGTTGGACTGATGGTCTTTCCTTCTATGAGTTTTCACCTCTATCGAATTGAAGAAAGTCAACTTGCAAATTGGGCACTTGCGGGAGTTGGTCTTTGACTGATGCTTCAACAGATGGTGATAATACATCTGAGTCTGTCCCCAGCCATTGGCCACAAATTTGACACGGAATACCTTCAGGCAGTACAGGCACAGAATAAATTGGGAGCTGTCATGTTTCTGTTAAAAAAAAAAAGAAAAAGGATTACAGTAATCTGCTTGGAAGGAAATGATTATTAGTTTTTGCTAAAGGATGGTGTAAGTTGGGAACATGAAGTTGAAAAAAATCCAAAACTAAAAGAATTTGAAAAAAAAAATTAGGAAGACAATGTCAAGAAAAAATGAAAAAATGTTTTAAAATATAAAATTACCAAAACCGTGAACTTATTAATTTATCAGGTACAACTGAATTCTTCTGCACTGAGGTGTAGAAATGTAATTTGTTTAATATGTACACTATTAATGAAAGGAAGCAATTTCTATCCATTTTTAAAAATAAAATATTAATATACTTAAGATAAATTATTAATTTTATAAAGAAAAATGAAAAGAAGCTACTTTGATTTTTGTTAGTTGAATGCTGAAGCATAAAAAGAAAACTAAATAGTCCAGAAGTTAATATTTACTAAGAAGCAAGACTTAAACAATCAACCCTCATAATCTATGAGATATGGCTTGATGACAATACAGAAATAATTATTTTGATTATCAAAAGGTTTGGAAAAAAACTTTTCAAGACTTTTGCTTTTAAAACTTAGATGAACCAGATATTTTTATGCTCAAGCTGGTAAAGTTAATTACCATGAGCCTTGAAAAAGAAATATTTAATACGCACAAAACTCAAATAACTAAAACTTTGTTGATAACTCTTGTTTTCTCAGCATAATCTCTCTAGGAAAAATGTTCTGAACATGTAGAAAAGAGATTGCATGGCTTACTTTCTTGAAATGATCCACTGCATCACTGTACATGGAGGAACGGAAGTTACACATTTGGCAAATGTATGGCATCTCACATGCAGTATGCACTTGACGCATGTGGTTGGTCAGAGCTTGTCGGCTGTCATGGTCCTTCTCACAAATGCGGCACAAAAGTACATTGGCATTATTCATGTGTACCTGAAAAAGGTAACAAATACCATCAATAAAACAAATTAAGTGAAAATGGCAATTTCTTTTGTGATATTTCCTTGTCCCTCTTTGCAACCTTTTTTTTTAAAACTAAATGTTTCTCACTGCTAAAGACCTTAAATATCTGGATCTTGTTGATTTTAGAGACCATGTTATTGTTTTTGTTAGTAGAAATTTATTGCAAAGTTTTATAATATGGAAATGTTTAAAATGTATAAAGATTTTGGACAGTTTCCTCAGAATAATTCTAAGCATTATTCATTGCATGTTTCATATTAATTCCATTTCTGAAATCATAAGACAATTTCTTGTAAAATGAAGCTTCAATGTGAAGATACTTACTTTTTCAATGTGAGTTTGCATCTCAAATGGTGTATCAAATTGTTTGTAACAATGTTTGCACTGGGTCAGATCACTGAGATCCAAGTTTTGTTGTTTTTCACTATCAATGTGACCCTGCATATGCATCATGGTGCGAACATTGTTGTATAGCATCTTCGAACAATACCAACACTATAAGAAAAAAATAAAAGATCCAAATTGGGAAACAGATAAAAGATTATTCTCAAACAAACAAAAATCGTAGTAGAAAGTGACATTCCATAAGTTTATATCTCTAATAATTTTCTTATAAGAAATAATTTTTATTAATTTGCTAAGTACATATAGAATAGTTTTTAGAATATTTATGAAGATTGATAAAAATGACTGCAAATGGGGGAAAAAGACTACAATAAACTTAATATTAAATTATGATTTGAAAGTATACAACCTGAAATATTATTGGGAAGAAAGAGTGAAATGTATAAACAGCTTTAAATCAGTTTGTCATTAGCAGAGAGAAATGCATTATTGATTGAATTTGGATAATAAAGACCAAAGTTAATCTGTTAGAAATTTTTGATGGAAGAAAAAAATTCAGCAAAAATTGTTTCGCATTATTTCTAATAATCAAGAGAATCTTCGTTTTTAGTGTTCTAGTACAATAATGAGGAAAAGATTCCACTTTTACAAAAAAAGCTTATGAAATTCAGCCTACAACAAATTAATATTCTTAAATAGTTTAATTAAAAACAACAGGAAACAGTAGTTTATGGAAAAAAATGACAATATGACATATGAAAATTTATAACCACTCCAACCAGTGTGTGTTTAGCTATTGCTTTCCAAATCTTCAGACGGAATTATTGCAATTTACTGATTTATTTTCCCTCCTCAGGTCTTGTAGCCTGCTAACAAATTGTTGTAGTAAAGAAAAGCAAAGACTGTCAACTTATAGTAGCAACTGCAATAGATTTCTTCTGTTTCTCGACCGCAACACTTGTAGTCAAATCACAGTTCAGACGATAGCCCGACATAACAATCCAACAAGCAAAGTAGAAACAACAAAATGGGGGTCACACGTCCAACCTTCACTTCTCATGAGCAAAAACGCATGTTCAGCTCACCACCTCAGAAAATCCTCTGCCTTTATAAGCAAAAAACAACGGCTTCAGTTCATCAAGAGATCTTTCTGATTGGTCACGCCATTCAGGGGAGGGGAGAACATTAGCATAGATTCTAGTCATTGAAGTAGATTTTTGCTAACTACTTTTTGGTAATTTTTCTTTGGCAAATCGCACACAAAACATAAACTTTTTTCGGGGTAACTGATTATCTCTTTCACTACATTCCCTCCTGTCACATCTGTGCATGATAACAAAAACACAAGATGTAAAGGCTGGACAACTTAACAGTCATATGTAAAATCCTCTTCTTGAAATCAATTAAGATTCAAAGTAGTATGGACATTATTCATAAATAGAAGCATCTGATCATCTTCATTTCAAGTAACACTGTCATTTGGGGGACAAGAAACAAAGTATACAGGATTCTTACAAAAGAATTTCTTTGACAATCCTAACTGAATATTAGAAACAAATACTGACATTTTTAGGGATGATGAGTCCTTGAATAGGTATATTATGTACTATACATGTAACAATTATAAATGAATAGTAACTTAATGATGGTATTATAAACCCATTTTTGTAAAAGGTTGGTAATTGAGCAGTACTGAAGTCAAAATAGATGTGGAGAACAAATATCTCAATAGGTAAAAAAAAATTATTAACATTTAATACATAGATCAAATATCACCTTTTCAGAAAGAAAAACCTTCAAATATCGTATTTTATCAAAACCTTTTATCACAAATTCCCATGACAAAAAAGGTATTGAAAGCTAGCTGCCATAAAACCTTGTTTATTAAACTTGGGAAAAATAATAATATCAGAGTCATTTCTTAAATAAAATCTATAAAAAATGCAATAATGATAAAACTATTAACTGATAAAAATGCAGACAGTACTTATGTTACAATACTTATTACAAGGCTGGAAAAAAGAACAGCGTAAACAAAAACTAAGCTTCATAGCTGGCATCTTTAAAGCTAGGATAAAAAATATTAGAAAGAGAACAAGAGAAATAAATGAAGAAATGTGATATAATAGTTTAATGGCCAATACCTTAAAACGATATTCGCCTTTATCTTCCCAATAATTAGGGTCTCCTTCCATTTTTCCATAATAGTATTCATCTAATGGTACCCAGTTCCCTGTAAAATATGAGCAAATATATGCACATAAAAAAAGCAGAAATTATTAGAAAAAAAAATACAAATTTTCAAAGAGATTGTATATCAGTGAGATTACAGGCTTAAGTCATTACAGTTTTTATAAGCTTTTCTTTGGAGGCATTTAAGATTGATGTACAAATGTCAATTCACACACCTAATGATTTATAGCCTTTACAGTCAAAATCATGACTAATGTTTTTTTATTAAGTGTTCATACAAATCTAGATAAAGACATCATTTTAGCAATGTAATTAGTTTTGCAAAGGATGGTTAGCTTTACAAAAAGAAATTATAAAATAACCATTGCATAAGATTTAAATTTCAATTTTAAAACCAATTTTTAATCTATTTTTATACATAATCCCATTGCTTTCCAGAGCTTCAAACAGACAGTATTATTGCAATTCACTGATTTATTTTCCCTCCTTAGGTCTTGTAGCCTATTAACAAATATATTTTCTGTGTGATTACAAAAACACATTTAAATACTTTCTTATAGTATAACTGACACCTACATGCCTATGAAAAAAAAAAAAAAAAGACAATTTACTCTGTATCCAGTGTCACAAACATCATTAATCATGCAGATGAAACAAAACTTCAAAATTGCGACAGATAAAACGAATCATCTGTAAACAAGATATATATGTGTGTGTGTGTGTGTGTGTGTGTGTGTGTGTGTGTGTTTACAATTGAAGAAAATGCAATCTTGTCCACTGTCATCAACTAGTTTCACTTAAAGACATTTAATTTTAAACTAAGTTGTGAACATTTTAAATAAGATCAATTCTTAAAAAAATTAAGAACTTCATGTTCAAAATATAAATTTAATGAAAGGTACAGGTTAAAGAAGAAGAGTCAAAAGGAAAAAAATGAAAAGCTAAATGAAGAGACAGCATTTTCCAATAAACATAAAAATCAGCAACAGAAAATTAAAGCACATCCTGAGAAATAGTTTAGTTAAATGACATTTTCTGTATTTTTATATTTAATAATTTAGCTGGTTCTCTGATCTATAGAAAATGGTTTCCAAGAAGGAAACAAGAACCAGTATGTATGTGTGTACATAATTATTCCTTGAAATTATGTAAAATTCAAGATTTTTCCTAATTATTTTTTGAAAAAAATTTGTTGGGATTTTCATGTTTTATTTATCATATCTCAACATTCAACTAATGTTTTAGATAACTCAGGGAATAAAAAAATTAAAATAAAAATATATAAAAAATAAATTTCTCATGTAATTTGATTAAACTTAATGAAAAAGTTTCCTCAAAGATTAATGTTAATTTCTTGAACAAAGAGTCAATAGAAACAGATCCCACTGCAGCTAGAGTATTTACTTATCTAGCTTGAATAGTTAGATAATGCAGAATCTAAAGAAACACAAAGGACATATTAAATTGTCACCTGCTGACATTGAACTATCACGGCATATAGAGAAAGAGAGAAAAAAATATAGCCCAAAGCAGAGAAAGAGCATCTTTATAGGCAATTAAAACCCTAGTTATCAGCTAATAGAAAAAAAAAAACACTGATAATATCTTTTCTGAAAACCATTGTGGCATGTCTTACCTGCAGAGGAATCAGCAGAAGTCTTACGCTGGACTTTCTTCTTAGGTGGAGATGAAATCAACTCTGTATCAGATGGGCGTTTAATTGCAAAAGTAACATCACCTTCATCAGCTCTTTTAACACCATAGCCATATGTACCTGTCACAATCTTTTCATTCTGGCCCTGAGAAATAGCAATTTCTGATTGCAATTGTTGTTGGTGGTTGGCCAAGATTGAAGATATGGCTTTAGGCAGAACTTCCTGTTGCTGTGACTGGTGTTGAGATAGAGCTTTCACACCAGATGATTCCACTGCAAAGAACAGAGTATCAAGGAAAGGAAGATTTTATAATGTATAAATTATTAAAAGAAAAGAGGAGAATAGTAAAAGAGAGGGAAATTCACACACAAAGAAAAATACCCTGTAAAACTAGAGAGAACAGCTTGGCACTTACCCATTCTCCTTTGTGATTCCTGAACACTTCCACCAGGCACATTAGCAGTGTGGGGGTTGTTGATGGCAGTTATCATTGAGGTAGGCACAGATGAAGATTGAATTTGGCTGCTATGGAGCTGTGGCTACAATATACAAACAAAGGATGCATCCAATAAACAGAATATTAATAATTATTTATTGGAAGTAAAAGATAATAATAATATTGGGAAAAAGCTTTACAAAACCCCACCTATAAATGGATAAGTTTTAAAAGAGTTCTGTTAACTATAGGATTCCTGCCTAGGAAATAAGTACCCAGGAAAGAAACATAGTAATGAGATTAATTCCAAGAGAAACCTCATTTACTAAAAGAAAAAATGAAATTGGATTGAGATCCTAGATTCTAATTAAAGCTGGTATCTTTGTCACAATTTACTTCTAACAAGTAAAAGAAAAATGCAGAGAAGGTTTTATTTTTTTTTGTACATACAAGAATTACATTTTAAGTTAATTTAAACATTCAAAATTACCATAAAATTAGGTTAAAATACTTTTCACCATCAAAAGTGTTTTATAATTACAAAGTGGTGCTGAAGATTTTTTGGGGGAAGGGTTTCTTGATTAGGCCAATGACTTTTCAGTACACCCTCATGTCTAGAACTTCTTTTGCTTATGACTAGTACAATTTTTTTTTTTTAATCCTTTCACCCCAACCAAAGCAATAAAGCCACCAAGACACTAGAGGTTACTAAGTGTGATGGGGATGGGGATGAGAAAAAGAAAAAACAAAAATACTATTAAAGATAGAGAACAATAAAAGAAGACAATTAAGACAAGGACATTGACATTTCATTTACTTTTTTGAAGATCAAAGTTGACTGGGAACAAGAAACCAAAAGAGTTTCACAAGTGAGAAATGTGAGAGAAGAAACAGAACAAAACTTACTGTTATATTTAGCCATTTCAACTGTAAAATGATGAGACTTTGGCACCAATCCAGCACCGTGCTTAAATTCATAAAGTCTAGGTACCATGGAGGAAAGTTCATCAGAAGAAATACCATGAAAGTATTTATAGAAAAAGGCACAGGGAAACTACATTATGAAAGTGAGAAAGTGACTGAAGCTGAAATGCCAGGTCAAAACCAATGACACTGCAAATTCATCTTTGGATTTTTATAAAGAATCTCTAAATATTTAGCAGAAACACCAGACTGTATGTGGCAGCAATAGACAAAGCCTGGATGAATGGTAGACTTATAAATATGTAAGATAGATTCTGCCAAGAAAAATTGTTTAGCATAACACAGCAAACCAACTTTCCTAGCAGCAATTGATTCAATATAATCTTTCCACTTTATGTCAGAGGAAAACATTAGTCCAAGACAACACAATGAATCACTATTCTGGAGGTTAGTGTCAGCCATACTGATGGAAGGAGAAAAGGGTTCTCTCAGAGAATTAAAAAGAGAGTGGTTTCATTTTGGAGGCATTAAAATTAACAAGCCATTCCTTGCCCCAGTTAACAGATTGTAGGTCATTTTTGAGATCAACTGCAAATGGAACAGATCAGACTTACTATTAATACAGGAGTAAATAGTTGTCATCAGCATAGATACAGAGTTGAGAACTGATGATATCAGGAAGGTCATTGATGAAAATTAAGAACAATGAAGGTCCAAGGATAGATCCCTAGGGGACACTTGTATTAATGCAAAAAAAAAAAAAAAAAAAAAAAAAAATCTAGAAGAGTGACCATTTGAGACAACTTTCATTTCATAATTTTGATAAAGACTGAATGAATTATAAAATTCGTTCATAAAAATTCACCTTGTCAAATGCCTTTGAGATATCACAATTCTTATCTAAAGCTTGATAGACTCTTTCTGCAGTAATTGCTAATACATCAACAGTTGACCTAGAGAAGCAAAAGCTGTACTGTTTATTTGAAAGAAGACCCTGTGAGGTGAGATGCTTAACCAGTCCAGAGTGATTAGTGACTCTAGTACTTTGCCAAAAAGTGTCAGAAAGCTAATAGAAGGATCAGACGGTTTGCTCAAGTTCTTTAAGGACAGGAACTACTGAAGAAGATTTACAACAAACAAGAAGCGGCAAGGCATTTATTATAAATTTTAAAGAGAACAGCAACCATATTAGGAGCACATTTCTTAAGGACTATTACAGATATACCATCAAGTCCAAATACTTTGTAAGGATCCAGTTTAGATATGATAGCAGAATCCATGGACAGAATTATATGCATATCACTCAATAGAAACTCAGTTTTCAGTGGAAATTTATTGAAGATTGCAAATTGGTTCCCCCCCGCCTTACCTTAATTTGTGTTGCACTTGTTCGAGATATCTGGTTTTGTGTGCGTGTAGCTGGGGTTTCACCTACTATGATCACATCAGGGGATGAACTCCTTGTGGCTGGAAGAAATAAAAAGAACAAGAACTTTCATCCACCCCAAAAAAAAAAAAAAAATAATTCATTCTTCTCTTTTTAAGTTAATAAGGAAATGGATACAGAGTATAGGAAGCAATTTCATTCTATATAGTTTTCATAAAGTAACTTTAATAAAAATATTTTATAACTTCAAAATTAGGAAACATTTTAGGTTTAAAAATAAAATAGGATGTTAATTAAACAGTTAGAAAAATCTAAAGTTTGGACATTTGATAATTTGAACCGTGTTTACTAATCACTGTCATTAATCAACAATCTTACATCAAGACAAATATGTATTGCCTATATCAACAAAACCTGAGAAATCATTTCTTTTTTTACTATAATATCTTCTAAGAAAGATGGGGTGAAGACATTGTTGCCAATGGCAAGGTATAAAACAGGTAAAGAAAAATTATTTTGTACTTATGACTGATTCACTTATAGCAGAAATTATCTTTCCAAGTAATTTTAGGTCACCTGAAGTCTGTGTCAATCTTGCAAAAACGTAAGTTTAACAATAAAATGAAAAAAAAAAAAAAAAAAAAAAAACGGTTTTCTTACAAGGTGGTGGAGTGGGAGGTGCAGCTGTTGCCTTCTGCTGTTGTATCATTTGACGTGCTTTGACCGCTTTGATCCGCTGCACTGCCTTTTCATAATCATCGAGTGCTCGACGTGAGGCTTCAAGCTGCCAGGGAGACAACTCATCTTCTTCACACTCCATCATCAACTCCAGAGAGCTTTGGTTGTGGCGACGCAAAGAATAAGATCCTTTTACTTTGGCCATAGTTTTCTTTAATAAAAAAAAATCAATATCTAATAAAGAGATGTAATAAACAAATCATCTATTAAATACTAACAGTAGAAAAAATAATGTAAGGGGATGGTGAACCCAGAAAATCAAAATTTAGAATACATTTGTTTATATCTAACAGGATTTTTTTTTTTGTTTGCTTGAAAAAAATAAATAAATAAATAAATAAAAATAAATAAAATATGAAACTTACATATTTTTTAATTTTTTAATTTTAAATAATTTACCTAATCAGGACATTGGAAATTGAAGTCTAGTATGAAATGAAATCACATAAAACTTATTACCTATGATTGAGTAATGACTTTCTTATTCCTTTATTTCTTTTAGAATTCAAGCTGTGCACGCAAATCAAAAGAGTATATTGCATTCATTTTGTGTAAATCTGCTTTTGTGCAAATACTGAAATTTGTACTGCTGAGTGACAACATTACCAGCTGAACCCTATTTTAAATCAGACTAGTTTCATTGATGGATGGTTTTTTTTCCTGCTTTCTTTAATGATACATTTTAAAACAGTATAATGTACTTATTGTATTCCGGTCATGCTCAAATCCCTTTTACCATGACTGTTATTTTTATGTTACTTCAAAAAATAAAAAAAATAAAAAACAAATAAATAAATAGAATTCATATAACATTATATATATATATATATATATATGACATTTGTCTTTAGATGGGACTTTGATAAAATACTATCTTCCAGTGATGACAGGATATAGTGTTCCAGGAATATTGGCTATAGCAGAATCTTATAAACAAATTCAAACTGTAAATCACCATTAAAAGAGAAAATGCGGGAGGACCATTCCAACTCTGCAAAAAGTTTTCTTCATCAGTTCCAATAAATGTATTTTTATTAATTTCATTTTTTTTTTAGTTTGAAAATAAATGAAATTAAAGCTTTAAAATAAACATTTGTTTGAAGGATTGACCAAGGATTCATTTCGTAACAAATTTCTAAGTTTTCTAGTCATTATTGTCACTTTTTGGCAAGTTAAAAATTACATGTCACAAAATTTTCCAAAATTAGATACATTTGACAAGGTCAGAATTGCCCTTCTGTGTCATTTTTTAACTATTTCATTTAACACAATTTCCTCAAAGTTTAGGCTGGTTGGGTTTAATAATTATTGATTCCATAAGTATTATCTTTCTTATATTTCAAAACTATATGACATTTCTTTGAAGCTTCTCTTTTCAGTAATATACTGTTAAATTTGGTTTCTGACCCAGTAGTAAACAAGATAGAAATTTTTCTAAGTTCTGACCAACTTTGAATGATTGGTTGTTTGTTACGCTACAAGTATAAATTTGGTTCCATTTTTTGTTTTGTCAAGAATTTTATGTCTATTAAGTTTTTAGATATATATATATATATATATAAATAAAATAAAATTTTAGTTTGTGTTATCCAATGCTATGATGTTATTCAACTACTTGCACAAATCAAGTCATCTATAAAACAGGTCATTAAATTCAGTTGAAAAATTTTATCACAGTTCAGGATATTTAGTGTTATATCAATTGAAAGCCTAACTCTAAAATGTATGACCTTTTAGCAGTATCATATCACAAAAATATTGTACATTAGCAAAAAAATTCAATTAGTTATAGACGTAAAATAATCATTATACTCTTTAATAATAACAATATAACTGTGTCCTAAAAATATATTTTTTGCTGATACATCTATTTTGGGACAAAATCTTTATTATATATATATATATACCCTCATAGTAAAAAAAAAATTCAGTTGTGTGTGTGTGTTTCTTTTTATAATTTATAAATTAAATGTAAATATATCAGGTCATCCTCTATGCTATAAATCAGAGAGCAATATACTAAATTTCACTATTTCAAAATGCCTAAATGATAAAAATACAGGCTAGTATGAATTCATAGAATTTTAAATGAATAAGTTGCATCATCACAGTAAACTTCAACTATCTTGGTTATTAAATTGATCCTTCTTCTTAAAGATGGCCAAGTATAGAGAACACTTCAGACATGTAACATCCTGTGAATTTAGACAAGGCAATAATGGTGAAGAACCAAAAATATGCTTACAGAACAGATTCTTTGCTAATGATTGTTGGTTACCAAAAAAAAAAAAAAAAAAAAAAAAAATCAAGGGATTTATGTTTTTACTGTGTTGTTGCACTTTTACTCTTTTTTCTTTTAACAAAAATAAAACAATTTTTGATTCTTTTTAGAATTTATTAAATTTTTTAGTTGTGAGAAATTTATTTTAGACTAAAACTTACTAGTGATTAAATGTTTTAGATGAGATTGATTATTTATTAATTAAGTTGCTGTGATAATTCATAATTCTAATGTCTGTAAGAAAATTTTAACATTTATTTTTTTTTTCTTAAAAATCAAACCTGCAATATTAAGTACTACTTGTACTTTATCAAAATATGTCATGAGTTAAACCACAATACATAGGATGATGCCTTTCTGCTTAGAGTATTATTGTTGCAATATATATATATATATAAGGGTGTCTCTTATTTTTGAAGTGCATGCTGAAATTGAATTGTCACCCCTAAATTTGTTCCATTCATTGAAAAATGCTACTTATAAAATTTTAAGGAGTTCATGATATTTAAAAGGAGCCTTTGCATGTTAAAACTTAAAATATATAAGGTGATCAAAAAAATAGACCCTTTTTTATTTGAATCTTTACAAATTATACACATTAGTGTTGTAACCGATGAAAAGGTTACTGAATAAGAATAACCAAAATGAAGGTTGGAAATGGAACAATAATATTTATAACAGGAACAACAGACAAGATTTGCCAGTGACATGCAGTAAGTAATCAACTGCTAGTAGTGAATCCCAGTGAATCCAAATGACTACCACCTACAGTATATTCTACTGTATTTATATGGATTGGGACATACCCATTATAGTCCAAAGATACATCATAACACCCCCCATCTTTTGGATTTACTCTGTACAGAATCAATATTTTTTTCTTTTTGAGTTGGTTTCAATGCTTTCTGTATCCCTTCTTTTTCTCTTACGTCTTTTTTGGACTTCTAACTCTATCTTTCTTGGAATAAATCTGGACAATCCGTCCACGTAACTTAATTTACTCAATGGCAAGAATTCCATTCTAAAGCCATAATTTAGTAGAATGGTTCTCCATCGTTGTGACCTATTAGCTGTATGAATCGGTAGTCCCTTTTTGGACCAATAAATAGCTAACAACGGTCTGAGATCTGTTTGTAAGGTAAACCTTCTCCTGTGAATGAATCTATGAACTTTTTTCTGGGCAAAAACAATCTTTAAACTTTCCTTTTCTATTACAGAATAATTTTTTTCAGCTGCAAGAAGCATCCTGGATGCATGTGCAATAGGTTTAATCAAGCAGTCTTTGAGTTTATGCATAATGCAGGCTCCTATACCGTATGCACTAGCATCACTTGCAATAATTATTTTTTTCTTTTTTTGGGGGAGGGGGGATTGTAATGTGTCAAAAACAAGTTTTATAGCACTCCGTCGTCCAAACCTATTTAGAGTCTTTCTTCAATAGTTCATTTAATGGAGCTTGCAAGCAATGCATATTTGGCACAAATACATTATAATAACTTGCTAACCCCAGGAAACTTTGTAGGGATATGACATTTTCAGAAGCAGGCATGTCTTTTATAGCACTGGCTCAATTATTTGACCTAAATATTATTTTTGTCCATAAAGATTTCACACTTTTCATTCTTCAGCTTGAATCCATAGCGAAAACTGGCTGTACATTTTCTTTTAGCTTGAATTTAGCTTTAATTTTCTTGCACCTGCTTAGCCCACCAGAAAATACCTTTGGGAATTTAGTTTTTAATTCTTTTAAACTTTCTGCTTCACTGGTAAAACCTTTAACTTTTTGGTAGAACAAATTGATCAGACTGTTACATAAATTAAACTGCTCCATCCAGTCTGTTCCAAAAAGGTTATTTGTATTTTTCATGATAAAAAGTCATAACTTCAGAAAAGTGAGTGTAGTTTGGAAGGAAGTTTTTTTAAGATTTCTGATGATAACCAAAGTAAAGCAATATTTGTCATAAATTCCCCTTCAAATTTTATTTTCTGTCCTGTAAAACTAGGAGCGATTTTTTTGGTAACCATTAACGTTGGTTTACCCAATTTTCTCCATGTATAAACATTTATTATACTTAAATTGGATCCACTATCCAATTGCAGTTTGACATTTTTGTTCAGGATTTTTACCTGCACAAATTTTCTTATAGCAGATTTATCCACATTAGTAATTTTAATGTAATTCCTCACTTGTTTTTTAAATTTTGTCTTACAATGGGTTTTTTTATGTCCCCCCTTCTTTTATTATTCATTCTTTTTGAAAGGACAGTCCTTATACCAATGTAATTCTCCACATGCATAACAGGGGTTAGGAATAATGCTTTTTTTCCTTACTTACTTTATGTTTATGACGTACTTTTTTAATGTGCGTCACATCACTTATTTCAATATCTTTGGCATCCTGATGAACATTTATAAATTTCTGACAATCTTCTGCTAAGTTTTACAATGTTAGATTGGGTACATTTTCCAGTTTATTTAAAATCCTTCTCTGGATTTCAGTGTCTTTTGCTGAAACCAATCCTTGAACAAATATCAGGCATTTAAAACTGTCAGGGCTTAATTCTGCCAGTTTGAACTTCTCACAATTTTCATTCACAACACTCGCAAATGTTGTGAAATCATCTTCCTTTTTCACTAAATTCATACATTTCCATCTTTCATGGAACAAAGACATCTTCAACTAAAAACTTCCGAAAGCAAAGTAACCATTTCTTTAAATGTTAGGTCATTAGTTTTCTTTGGCAATTTATGAATTTAGTGTGTTCAACAGTGCCTAGTTTCTTTAGCAAAAGTCTGACCATTTTGTCGTCGGACCAGTTTGCACAGTCTATCATGTACAAGTCTTCATATCTACAGAAATACGACAAAAA